GTATGTGGCGCTATGAGGCTGGTCGTTGAAGTCTGGCATGCCAACATAGACGCAGTCACGTCTCTTCAGTGACGTGTTGCTGTTTCACCTAGCTCTCAAAGACGCTCACTCACCACCAGCAATCACAATGTCCCACTTTGCAATCTCTTTGTGTTCTCGTCGAAACGCGTACGCTTCCTGCAGCAATATACCGGCCTGTCTGACACGTTCGTACGCATGTGAAGGGTGCCAGAAAAGGTGCGTCGTGGCCACAATCAAGCCGGTTGTGGGCTCTCCAATCACTTTGGCGCCACTTGCATCTGTGGCCAAGCGCAGAGCCACGATCTGTGCGATGTTGCGGGTAGACCGTGAGCCACCGGTACTCGTGGTTGGTGACGTATCGCTTGAAGCGCCGTCAACGTATCTACGAGCTTCCACTCGGTCGTAATAGACAACCTTTTTGGCGATCGGAGCGCTTTCGAAGGTCGTCCTTGACTTGATCTCCGCAGTTGAAGAAGGCTCCGGCTGCCCTTCACCAGCAGAATGGTCGGGTAGTCTAGACCGCCAAGCAATCAGCAGCCCATGTTGCTTCGACTCGTAGCCCTTCTCGTAAGACCAAGAGAAGCCGGCTCGGCTGAATGTCTCCGAGTGATGTTCCATTCTGTCCACCTCCTGAAAGCACGCGACATCCCATGCATGACTGTCCGGATCGAGCTCCGCGTCTAGCATCGGCATCCGTTCTGGCCACTTTAAGCAGTCACTGCCGGGAAACAGCTTCCTTCGCACAAGTCCTTGAGCGAGAATGTTCCAGGAGAGTATTCGAAGAGAGCTCCTCTTGTCAAGCTCGCGCTGAGCGTCCGATACGACTGGCAGCCATTGTCTAGGTGCGAATTTTTGCTTGCCCGACAAGATTGGATCGGCAGCTATCCTGGCTTTTTTCTCTGCCCTAGCTGCTCTGATAGCCTCGATTTCCTCTGCTGAAGGTTTGGCTTTGGGCGCTTTGCGGGAAGGTGCGCTTGATTTGCCTTGCTCTGGTCTCGCAATAGCGGCCTGGCTTGACTGCGGCCCTGTTTTCTCGTGGGGTAGGCCTTCTTGCCTTGCATCGCTGTTGTCTGGGCTGGTGGGCGATCCAGAGCCGAGCGCCGATACTGCTCCAGTAACCGCAGAGG